TCTTCAGGAGGCCAAACAGAAATACTATGGACGCAGATGTTCTGTCAGAGAGAAGATTTGCTCTCTTTCACAAACTGCAACATTTCCGCACGGTTTGATAAATTACTGAGACTTGCTTTGGTTGAACTCCCGCAGAGATTCAGTTTAAAGCAGCTGGGTTCTGCAGATGCAGTTCTCTTTTTCTCTTTTAGATCTTAAACCTTCAAACTACCCAACAAACAAAACTCTGGACACAAACGGTTCTTAGCAAACCCCTGGAGCGAGTTGCTGTGTGAGAGAGGGCAGCTGGGAAAGCTTCGTTTACAACCAAATACCTGTAAACTTCTTTGTCAGCGGTTTAGTCCGACAGCTGGTTCTGATCCAGTTTCCAGATCTAAACCTTTCTGTGAGAAGGTATGGTGTGTTGAAGGTTTAAATGATGATGTAATACACGTCTGTTTCACCTGTCAGCTGATGAGAGGGTTTTCTCTGAATAGGCTAGGTTAACAAAACAGTTTTGTTTGATTCTTTCTGAGGTGCCTTAAACGCATCATGAGTTGAACTTATTTAAAACAGAAGCTGAACGTCACTATTTAAGACGATCTGATTCTTGTTTAACCAAACTGAGACCTGCGTCCACGTCTCCGGCACCAAAGCGAGCTCGGTCCAGGTGCGGGCTGGGCCCTGCCAGGGCTGCTTCTGGGTTCTGATTCTGTTTGTGGACAAGATCGTCAGGAGGATGGGGCCTAGTTGGGGAAGCGCAGGTTCGTCTCTTTTGTCTCTTTGCTTTTGCAAACAGTGTGGTCCTGTTGACCTTCAACATGCTCCAAGGCGGTTCACAGGTGAGTGTGAAGCAGCTGAGGTGACAGTCGGCTCGTCTGAGTCTGAGGCCCAGAAACTGGAGCGGTCCCTCTGTGTCGGGGCTGAGTGCTTCCAGGGAGGACTTGTTCCTGAGTCATCATAGAAAGGAGCTGAAGATGGACTGACTGACGGGGGGCTCATCTGTAGTGATGAGGCTGTTCCTCCGGTCTGTTGGGGTGAAGAAAAAAAAGCTCCAGAGTTACTTTACTTTCATGTAGAGATGCACGATATTGGATTTTTGGCCGATAACCGATACCGATACCAATGCTTTTGTTCTTAGACCTACTTACAGAGACTACATAGCTTTCTTTCTCTGCTGTGGAATTAAAATACCTACATTATTCTGCATGGTCTTTGTCAATTTGGCCTTTTGCCTAAAGGGGGTTGGAAATGATGTAACACTTCAACTTGGATTATGTTTAATGTCAGATTTATTCATGACATTTACTCTCTCTGCTGGTGAGGTTATAGTTTTATTTACACACACATATATATATATATATATACTGTGTATCAGAATCAGACTAAGCTTTATTATCATTGTACTGAAATACAGTGAGATTATTTTCGTACAGTCGTCTGAAAGATGGGCGGAGTGCACATTGCTGCTGCTCCTAAGAGCGCACCCCCTTATTCTTTTAGATAGAAAAGGGGAAAAGGCCATGAGGAGAGGATAGTGGTATCACAAAAAAGATCTCTTCACCCATTGTCCTTATCAGGACACGATTTAAGACATCAAAAACTCAACAGCAAGCACGTTTATAGACACGTTACAAATCCATTTGACGACAAGACGGTGAGATTTGTCTTTGATGCACTTCCAGATAGCACCGTAGTCCTGTTAAGATGTTGGTGTCCTCGGTACAGCTCCGATAAGTATTCACAGAAGTTCTCGGTGGAGGGGTTGCGATAGACAGAGCTTTTTTAGTTTACACACATCCCAGTAGAAATTTGATGTCGGCCTGCATCGAGGCCAAACGGGGGAGTCAAATTCAGATAAGCCACTGTTGTTGATTTTTTTTCAGGCAGACTTATTTCTCTTCAGCCTTGAGTCCTGCTGGTACTTTTGATCCAAAATGGCCAGATTTGTGGACATTCCACTGGTCCGTGCTTATTAGCTCCCTCCAAGGTCATCCCCAACATGCTGGCGAGTCCCAGAAGCCGCAAGTGGCCTGCGATTCTCACAAATCGCTTCCATTTTACAGTTGAGTTCGCAAATCAGCTGATTTTGCTCGAAGCACGAACCAAACCAAACACAGGTTGGTTGGCAGCTTTGCCATGCCCAAAACTGCTGCCGCCGTCTTCTTTAATAACCAATAACATAGGAATCTGCCGGTGCCAAAAAGCAGAAACCCTGCCATCACGATTCCAATGATATAAACATCTTCGGCGTCCTCCTGAGACAATACAGAAAGTCACATCAGCTCCCAAACTCCCCACGGATCCATGACGTATCCTGCTGTGTGCATCTCAGTGGGGCATGAGGGCTCTCCAGGATCCTGTCGCTTTGTTGAAAAAAATTTATCGATTACGTTGAAAGTCCAGTTGACCAGATCCATGACAGTAGTTTACGTTTTGGAAAATGTGTAAATAGGAGCTCCGATACACAGAAAGAGAGCAAAAAGGCAGGAGGAGTCCGGGAGAAGGAAGAAAGGCGCATGTCTTGCAGGTGAGGACGACCATTGGTGTGTGTGCATATATATATATATATATATATATATATATATATATATATATAAATAAACAGCATCTTTTATATCACTGTTATTTTGATGGAATTGCCGATGTCCGATATTTAACTTTATCGCTAATATCGACCGATACCAATACCATGCCGATAATATTGTGCATCCCTACTTTCATGAAGTCATACTTCAAACTTGGGCCTTTTGTCAGCTCAGATTATTACAGAAGTCCCAAGTCTGTTGGACTTTAGAGATGGAAGTAGATAGATGTTGGATTTTATCGGTACCCTTCAACATTTCAACAAATCTAGAAAATATTATAATAATTTAATCTGAATTTTAAATCTGGTGATGTTGTTGGTCCAAAGGATTTATTCATAAAGTATTTTGATGATTTTGATGGCAGTTTATTTACAATGTGATTTCATCAGCTTTTAGGATTAAATAAATGTATTTTTCTTGATTTTAAATAGATTTTTAAGTCCAAGATGAGCAGGTTTCCAGTATTTAAGGCAATAAAGTTCCACTAATCAACTTTTCAAACCCTCCCGACTCATTGAAACCTTCACACGTTAAATATCCTGATGCATGCTCAATAATCCAGGTAGAAAAATCCAAAAAAAGTTCAATCTGGTCCTCTGGACATTCAAAACAAAACAAAACAAAGCAAAAAAATTTAGACATGTTTCGTCTTTCATCCGAAAGACTTCCTCAGTCTGAGGTGCTGTATTCAGCTCAGTCTCTTAAATAGCACCTTCTCAGAGTGGATCAACCAGTCCGACCATGTGACCAGCTGGTTCTGGTTGTCAGCAGCAAACTGGTTGATCCACTCTGAGAAGGCGCTATTTAAGAGACTGAGCTGAATACAGCTCCTCAGACTGAGGAAGTCCTCAGGATGGAAGACAAAACTTATCTAGATTTTTTTGCTTTGTTTTGTTTTGAATGTCCAGAGGACCAGATTGAACTTTTTTGGATTTACACGTTAAAGTTGTTGGTTTCATCACGGTGGGCCCGTCACGCAGCGTTTAATCGAACTGTGGATCTGTCTCTGATAGAGCCGCAGCAGTCTGCTGCCATGTTTCCATCAGCTTTGGGTGGAAAAACAATCGTCTGGAAACTTAACCCGGCTGCCGTGGAGTCCTGGGCCCCCACAGGGAACTCTGGAAATCCTTGAACTGAACTTTTCGGTCTCAGTCGGACAGCCAGACCCAAACACGTCTGTCCTCTGATGTACAACACAAGAAAACACGTTTCTGTCCTCGCTGCCGTTTCTGGTGGATGAAAGAGAATCAACTCCGCTCGTTGTTGTTGTTTAATTCACATTATGTTTAACTCATAAAGAAAGATCCACCGAATCTGCTTTTTGTCTAAATCTGGGACAAACAGACAAAGTCCCGCTTTTATGAATAAAGCCGAGCGTTAAAATAAAACATACGTGTCATGAACTAGTTGTGTCGAGTCTGCTACATTATTTGAGCTTGTTGTTGTCAATTTTTAGACAACAGCTTAAAAACTTTAAAGCAAAAAAAAAAAACAGACCTAAATCAACTCTAATCTAAAAATCTTTATAGCGGTTTATGCAAATATTGGTTGCTACCTCTTTAAATTTCTGTTAGTTTTGCATTTTATGATTATTTACAGAGAATTTTGTACTTATTTGTGAGTACAGTTAATGTCAGCTGCTAGCTGTGGCGCTGCTGCTTCAGCTGATTATTGAAATATATCTGACAAAACGTTTGTGCAACGTGAAACTCGCAGCAAATGTAAAGTTTGAGATAATACTATAAAACGTTATGAACTTACGAGACGAGTTATTTTAAAACATTGGGTCCACGCTAAAGACAAAGTATTTGTGGACTGCTGATGGTCAGAGGTGGGAGCTGCCATGTTGTTGTTTTTTAGCCGGAATCTGCACACTGGGCTTTAAGCCCCGCCCACTTCATTCAGATACAGTCGGAGTGGACGGGCTTCCAAAGCAGATTTTACTTTCTTACAACGGCTCCATTATTTGAATGTAGTGATTCATGCAAATATTTAATAAACCAGTTTAAACCACATTACTCTGGAATTCCAGGACACCGTTGTAAAAGAGAGTGATGATCTCAACGGATTTCTTCCTGGTAAAATAAAGGTGTTCTGTAATTTAAGCAGAAATATTGTGACATCCCTGCAGGAGGTGGCTCGTCAGTCCGGCCAGAAGTAAACTATTTCTTCAAATTAGGGCCTTTCAAACAGGTATCTGCAACAGGTAAGATATTAGTAGTTCATAACAGAACCCTTCAAAATGTACTCAATATCCCGCAAACAGCGATGCAACGCCGGAAATACGAGTGGGCCGAAATCCCTCCACAACCACGTGAGACGGAAGAACAACGAATATTAGAAGAACAGAGAAGAAGCAGAACATCAAGTTCTGACCGTAAACCCAAACCTGCAGCGTCTGCTCACCTTCATTCAAACGCTTTGTGATTTCAGGGTGGAGGAGAACAAGGACCTTCTGCTGTTCTTCAGGACTTTAAGGACTTTCTCAGACAGATGTGACGATCGGGCCAGAACCTTCCAGCATTTCCAGGTAAGTGAGGTTCCCTCCAAACTTCCAAACCTGCTGACTGTCTGACACTGAAGCCCGAGGCCTTTCCTCCCCGAGGAGCAACGTTTGTGGCAGATTGTTGGGTTCTGGTGGGTTCTGTAAACGGATCGGTCCTGCTGCGGAGGAACGCGATCGCCACATGTTTCTCTTTGTTGCCTTTAAAGAACACTTTGGGTTTGTCCAGTAATGACCTGTCTCCCTTTTTAAATTGTTTTCTAATACAAACAAGTAGCAGACAGATGTCCCCCGTCCCTGAGGGACTCCAGGAGTGAGTGTTTGTAGTTTTGGAGACGTGAGTTTTTCTGGACTGGAAGTGAAAAGCAAATGCACGTAAACCTTGATGTTTGGTGCAAGATATGCACGTGGGCAGGAGTTCCACCGTGGAGAAGAACGGAGGTTTTTTATTTTGTCTGAGGCCGCACGGGGGGGCACCTTAGATTAATCTTTGGCCCCCCCCCAATCATTTGAGGGAACTATAGCTCAAATGGTTGTTGTGGTCAGTTTACTTTATGTATTTTATGTGGGGGAGCGGTGGCGCAGAGGTTAGTGAAGGCGAACCTGTGATCGGAAAGTTGCCGGTTTGATCCCCTGGACCGACAGCATAAAACTTGTGGGTGGAAAGGTGAAGCACCGACACCTGCCTCCATCCTCATTTGCCCTCCTCTGGACCCTTGAGCAAGGCACTTAACCCCCACCTTCTGCTTCCCCGGGCGGCCTAGACGCAGCTCTCTGCTCCACACAGAGGCTGTGGTTGAGTCAAGAACATCCGGCGTGAAAACATTCACCAAGTCTTCATGCGAGTTAGTTCTCTGTGGCGACTCCTGAAGAAGGGAGCAGCCAAAAGAAGAAATAAAAAATAAAAATTTATTAAACTCTACACAACACAATGTATTTTACGGTAATTTAAAGGAAAATGAATGAATTCACCCTCTGGGTCCTCTGAGCTCAGAACTGATGCTTGGTTCTAGTCTGGACTCTGGACCCTGGACCCCCTCCTCTGCAGAGTCGGACCTTCCCGTCTTTGCTGCAGCCTCTCGCTCTAACGCGCTTCAGATAAAACGATGGTTTTCAGAAAAAGATTTGGCGTGGATCATTTATCACAACTCCGGTTTTACTTGACCTATGGACACGATTTAAAAACTGGTGTGCAGTTTAAAGTCTGTACTTCTGACGAGATAAAGCGGAGTCTCTGAGAGGCGGCGTCTTTCCCGCTAGAGCAACCGAGATCGGTCATGTGACTACCACATGCCGGCGTGTTCATTCGCTCCTAAGAAAAAGACTTTGTCGGTCGAGGAGGCGTCGAAACCTCCGCCTGTTATTGAGAAGGCAGCGTGTATCTGTTTATATATACCCAGTTTTCTATAGTGACCGTTCTTAGATCTAGATGCAGCTACACTCCAAAATGTAAGTTAGTACTTGATTTATTTTTCAAGTTATGCTCACATGCACAGTCAGAGGGACAAAGGATGTTTCCTCTTCCCTCTCTTCATTCTGTGATGGAGGACAACGAGTCTTTTTATTAGTTTAATATATCTAGCTTAGTGTTTAAAGCTCAGGATGGACAGGCTTCAGGTTTTATTTTAGAAACAGATGTTGAACAAAATTAACTTTGCTCAACTCATCAAATGTCATTTGGCTGGAAGGTTCTTCTCAGCTCTTGTTGCCACTCTCTACAGAAGCCAGCGCTCCTGATGCTGCGCAGATGATGAACAAAGACGGGGGCAGGTGTTATTTCTGTTCTCGGTGAACTTCAGGGTGGGGCTCTGAAGCCAGGAGTCGCTCTGCAGAGGCAGAATGGAACATGTTCTCCTGCGTTCTCGGAGGAGGCGTCCAGCCAAGTTGGCTGTGCTCAAAGTGAATTAAACCAGAGTTTCCATGAGTTTCAAACACTTTATTTTGCTTAACGTGCATCTTTTCTGTGGAAAGTCTAGTTCCTGTTGTTACTGCAAACTCCAGTGACACACAGACAAAACTTTACTCAGACGGGCAAACGCATGAAAACAAAAGGATCAGTGCAAGATTATTAATATTAATTAAAACTAATTGATATGTAACGAGCTGAATCTTGCAGTTTGTTTTTTCAGACTGCAGAATTAACTGGACAGTCACTGAACGTCCAAACTGCAAAACATTTACTGGCTTCAACATTCCTGCTTTATCGACCGACTGAAACAACACACACACAGTTATTATATTGTTTATATATATATGTATATATTTATTTATTTGTATATTTTTTCTTAGAGTGGGATGATTTTCAACGTCAGTGATTTCTAAAAATAAGTTTGAATTTTGTGTTTTCTCTGATTCACACAGGAATTATACACACAGGCTCAAATGTATACATACACCCTCCAATATTTGGTTAAAAGTCCTTCAACAGGTCTCACCTGGACCTCAAGCTCTTTGTCTCCATCAGCAAGCATTTGACTGATATCTGTCTTATAATACTAGTATACTACTACTACTACTAAAACAAGTACTTCTACTGGTACTACTACTACTACTTCTACTACTACTACTACTACTACTACTACTATTACTACTACTACACCACTATTTCTACTACTACTACTACTACTACTACTATTACTACTACTACTATTACTACTTCTGTTACTACTACAAGTACTAACTACTACTACTACAAGTAATACAAGTACTACTACTATTAATTCTACAAGTACTACTACTACTGCAACAAGTACTACTACTACTACTACTACTACTAGTACTACTACTACTACTATTACTACTACTACACCACTATTTCTACTACTACTACTACTACTGTAGTGAACCTGATCTGAACCTGATCTGACCTCAAATCTTGATCAGATGAGCAGTGACTGTTATTTCATTGATCTGCATCCAGAAGTACAGTCTGAGCCATCTGGTGACTTTCTTTTTTGAATTAATCAAGCAGAAAAGACAATTCTCTATGATCATCACTGTTTTACAAATGTTTGATAATCAAATTGTGTGAGTTCACTCAATGCTTACAGGTTGAAGAGAACTACTCATTTTTATTTTACATAAACAGTAAGTAATAATTCTTATTCCTCATTCAAAGAAGAAATCAGGTTAATATGCATTTCTTGATTTTCTGTCTTCAATGAGCAAGCTTTTGTAAGTATGTGAAAGGTCGAGTCTTGGTCAACTAAAATGTTTACTGAGAAGAAAATGTCATGTTTAACTATTTGAGAAGATAATCAGAGTAGAGACTCCACGAAGTCTGCTGTTTCTCCAATAATCTTTTCTGTCTGTTAAGCAATCTCATTCTCTGCCCTTGGCTTATCATAACATCTTACGTCACAAAACACACCTCTTTCTGGTCCATCCACGAATCAGAAAGCTCTAAAATTGACCCGGAAGTCAACTCATTTAAAATGTGGCAACTTCCCGGTTCTGTTAGAGTCTGGGAGTGATAGAAATTATAGAGTCTCAGAGTGATGGAGGTTCTGAAGAAGTTCTAGAGTCTGAGAGTTCTGAAGGCTGAAGGAGAAAACTCTGATGTCTGAAACCCAGAGTGCTTCCGTTGGAATACAGAATGCAGGGACGATGTTGGGATTATAATTTCTGTTTGAACACCACGCACGACTCTCGAAGGGTTTCAGCTGCTCTCAACGGAGACGCTGAAAGAGTCGAGGAAGGATCCTATACCGAGCTGATTTATCGTCAACCAGGTAACGGTTTCTACTTCGACCAAGCGTACCGTCGCAAGCTGATATCTGATGGAGCGTGCACGTTTCTGGTCATAACAGATTAATTCCCTCACATATCTCTCTGTAAGATAAATCTCCATTTCCATCTTAAAACTCTCCTCTCTCTTCTAAAATCAGTACAGATATCTTAGAAATATCTGAAGCAAAGTCCTCAATCACCGCCGCGTGATTGAAGCCCATTTTCTGTGAAACTTGTCTGTTATTATTTTCATATTTTGCCAAATTAATGTAAATGTTTGATGTTAAACTTTGATTCTGAAAATAAATGACCGCATTCATTTGATGGGTCAAAGATAAATGACGTCTCTCGTTACATTTCTGTTAAAATTCAATGCACGACATTTACACAGTCAGAAAGATGAGGAACTCGTGAAAAGTATGAATATATTTCCCTATATTGTCATACTACACTACTACTATTACTACTACCACTATTACTACTTTTGTTACTACTACAAGTACTAACTACTACTACAAGTAATACAAGTACTACTACTATTAATTCTACAAGTACTACTACTACTGCAACAAGTACTACTACTACTAGTACTACTACTACAAGTACTACTACTACTACTAGTACTACTACTACAAGTACTACTACTACTACTAGTACTACTACTACAAGTACTACTACTACAAGTACTACAACAACAACAAGTACTACTATTACTACAAGTACTACTATTACTACAAGTAGTACTACTACAACAATTTCTACTATTACAACAAGTAGTACTACTACTACAAGTACTACTACTACTCCTACTACAAGTACTACTACTACTACTACAAGTACTACTACTACTACTACTAGTTCTACTAATACCATTTCAAGTAGTACAAGTACTTCTAGTACAAGTGATTTTATGTAACTGGGACCCTGTGTACATAGTTTCGCTCCACCACATGTGGTGAGAATGACAATAAAGAGTCTCTGACTCTTTTTAGTAGTAGTTGTAGTGGTAGTAGTTCAACTAGTACAACAAATAGTAGTTGTACTAGTAGTAGTACTACTACAATAGCAGTAGAAGTAGTATATAGTACTACAACTAGTAGTAGTATTAGTAGTAATTGAAGTACTATTGCTACTACTACTAGTACAACTACTACTAGTAGTAGTTCTAGTAGTTTTATTCTGTGTTAGTCTGGTTTATCCAATCAGAAACCAGTTCTGGTGTTTGTTTAGGATCATGGTCCTGTTGGACCCAACTGTGTCCAACTTTCAACCGTCCAGCTGCTGATTCGAGTTGAAGGTCAAGAGTTTGTAGGTCGTCCTCCTCACTTTGTCCCGCAGCATGATGCTCCCACCACCATGCCTGACAGCTGGTTCAGTGTTCTCTGGTCTGGAAGTCTCATCTGGACTCCTCCAAATGTCCTTCTTGTCTTCGTGTCCAAACAGCTCAGTCTTTGTCTCGTCTGACTGTCTTTCTCCAGAAGACGTTTGTCTTGTCCTCGTGGACAGCTGCATGTTTCAGTCCAGCTTGAAGGTTTTGGAGCTTCTTTCCTCTCAGTCGATGGTCCTTGGCTCTGTTTACGTTCACGTACATCTATTTTAGATGTTTTTAAATATTTAAACTTTTCTTTTCGTTATTAAAAACACATCTGACGCTGAGCCCAAGACATTTTAATTAAAAACAGTTTATTAAATGTCCTTAGTTTTAGCCACTTCTGTCCACACACGCTGCATATTCACATCATTTTGAGCCTCTAAAGTGATTTTACTTCGTTTCTGCAGAGAAAGAATCTCATCGAAGCAAGAGGCGAACATTTAACGAGTAACATTCACATTACTATAGATCATAGATACATGTTCTCCAGTCCAACCGCACTGGATTCTATAAATTAGAAAACAACTTGAAGTCAAGTCACTACATGACTGACTTGTCAAACATTTACATTTTACTGTTAATCATTAATTATTAATGCTCGTTTAACCCAACGCTGAGGCAGCTGGGAGCTCTCTGACTCACACACCTTAAAGCAACAAAGAGAAATATTTAAAACGCTTACACTGCCGTTTCACAACATTTAGTTGAAGAGAATAAGACTACGGATCCACATGCATATATCAAGGATTCCTTCTGTGTGACTCAGATCACTCAAACGGGTCGTTAAAAAGACCGAAGCTGAAACTTCCTGATTCAGACTGAACGGAAACTAAGAAATTATTAAACTATTCATCATCTTCAAACATGCCAGCTACTCCGACAGCTCTTTAAAGACCTGAATAATCTAATTAATTTTGGTTTGTGTGCCACCTTATGTGTGAATATAATTCCTGATCCGAGCCAAATAAACATGAAATTTGATTTTCCGAGAAACAACCTTTAAAACGCTGCATTTTATCGCTCTCTGCCACAAGGAGAAGGTCCAGTGTCTCTGTCTGTTACAGAAATACCTCAGAAACCACTGGATGACCTGCTCAAGATGGCCGCCACAGCCTGTTGACCTAAACAACGGCTAAACCCTACTTAATTTTACAGAAGCTGAGCTAAAGTTTGACATGGTAGTAGCTGGGGATGATCCTGTGCACTTACTCTGAGTGCTAACAGATTGCCAAGGTTTTGTTTAAAACTGGAGTCAACTCAGTTTGTTAGCAAAATATTTCATGAACCACTGGGCAGATTTTAATGAAACTTTCAGGAAACGGTCGTTGGATGTACGACCGACTTTTAGAGTCATTCCAAGAAAAAATGGCCGCCGCCGGACGTTAGCGAACACAACGATAGCTACAACTCGGTCAGTTTTATAGCTACTGAGCTATAAATGTGGTGGTGTGGTAGTAGCTGAGAGTGATTTACAATGCACACTCTGAGCATGACACGACACAACAAGTCTGTAAGGCGATCTCAGTCTAAAAGTGGTTTGAAGGAGGCGGGCGATATGCATTCCTCCAGTAGCTCTGTACCATATATTCATAATAAACCGCGTCTCTGGAGATTTCATTTAATCAACATGTTGCAGCTATGTGTTGAATTTAAGTTTTCAGTTATTCAATCATAAACTAACCTGTTCGCTTCATATTTTTAATTAAAAAGTAAAATACTTTTAAAATAAACAAGAGATTTGTTTAGTTATCGTTGACGTGTTTTTACAGATTTGTGTTTTTCTTTGTTGTCGTTAAAAACAGATTAATTTGTGTAAAAGGAGCATCAGGTCAAAAGGAAACAAATCAACTGTATAATTACTGTAAAAGTTTAGACGCCGCTGCTCGTTCTGGGAATCGTACCAGAATATTTTTAATAACTTACGGTTCGTTTTGTTGGCAAAGGTTCCGAGTGCTTCAGAGGTCAAATCTTCAGGAAGTCAAACCAAAACGTTTAAGGAATAACGCAAAACTCACAGATATCTACGGAGGTTAGGCTTCTTCTGGGGGGGGGTCTGTTTTTAAATTGTAACAGAACGAATGTTTTTGGCGTCTTAATGTTTGCGCAGGTTTCTGTCTTTAAATCGATTTGTGCGGTAAGAGCGTCACGACACGAAACGTTCCTGCTGACAGAAACCAAAGCGGCCGATGAGGCAGCTGAAGCAGCTGAAACAGCTGAAGTAGCTGAAGCAGCTGAAGTAGCTGAAGCAGCTGGAGGTTTACAGGACACCAGGATGTTTTTAGAGGAACTAATTGTCCAGTTAATCGTTTCTTTTTGACCCGACGCTGAAACAAGCTGCAGGTTTACAGAAGTAAATGGTCTTTATTCCCACTGTGGGACCAGCTGTCTAAAGTCCAGGATGTCCCAGCACCCCTCGGTACTTTTGGGGGCTGCAGTAGAGTTTGCGTCCCGTCAGCGGTACCGTCCAACAGGCAGAACTTTCATACAGGTGAAGCTGTCGGGGTACTTGGACAGCACGACCGGATTCCCCTCCATTCGGACCTCAGAGAGACTCGGTCGTAGATAGTAGGTGTCGTTGGACCGGCAGAAGGTGTTTTGGTTGACGTCAGTGATGTTGTTGTTCTGAAAAAAAAAAAAAAAGTTAGAAATGATAAAAATAAAACACTAAAAGTTTAACAGAGTGTCCAGCGTTCAAATTTGTCCAGTGGAGAAAAACAGCCAACAGATTCCACCGAGGGGTTATTTATTAAACGGAAACAAAAAGTTAAAGCTGCCAGTTTATTAAACAACCGTACGGTTGAATCTGTTTTGTGTTTTTACGTGAAGTTGGTGATCTCATTCCTCCAGATAGTTTTTATTTTGTCCTGGTACGTGGACCCTGAGTAAGAAACCCAAACCTGTAAATGTAAGATCCGCACAGTCTCTGGGACGTACGGAACGGCCTCCAGTTGGTTGTCAGCCAGGTACAGGGTGGCCAGCTTGGTCAGTTTCTGCCCAAGAGAAACAGTTCGCATCAAAGAGACGTAGGAAACAATCGTCCCGTGTTGAGAGGATCTCCAGACCTCAGTAAGATTCAAAATGATTGTTGACTAATACCCATAACGCACCTTGAAGGTGTTGGCCTTGACACCTTTGGTTTTCAGGAAGTTGTTGTTTGCGTTGAAGGACGTGAGCTTTGTTGGGAGCGTAGGAAGTTTGACGAGTCTGTTCTCAGCCAGAGACAGCTCCTCCAGCAGGGTCAGCTTGGAGAAGGCCCCGTCGTCGATCTCCGAGATCAGGTTCCCCGTCAGGTCGATCCTCTTCAGAGTCACTGTGGACCCGCCGCAGGATCAGTCATGACGTTACAGGCAATAGACGACAGTTTGAAAAGTTGTTCTCAACTGATTTGTTATTCATATCCTGTAATATTTAAAGTATTTGCTGCAGTTTTAAACATAACTGTTTTAGTCCAGGAGTGGCTCCAAGTCAGATCGTACCTGCACCAAATTGTACTTTTATTGCTTTGATTACTTTGTACCCAGATTTTTGGGTATGAGAAAAGCCATCTGCTCCAGGTGTGCTCCTTTCCACCCACTTAGTGTTCGTCTTAGCCCACTTTGTTTTTGATTTGTGCTTAATTCAGCCCCACTTCGTACCCATCTCTGTAGTCCCTCCAACCTGGATGACTTACGTCCCATCTACAGTACTGTTGATATTTTATAGAATAGTTTTTTTCTTCTCCGACCAAACAATTGGCGTTTGGCATGGATATTTCATAACAGCAGCAGGAGCAAACACAGCAGAAAATCTGTTTTTAAAAGTTAAAATTAATGAAAATGCACATTTCATCCATTTATCGTCTTGTTTTCTTTTTTCCTTTTCCGTGTCATGGGGCAGATGGTGCCTGTCTCCAGAGGTCTTTGTGCGAGAGACAGGAAACACCCTGGACACACCTAGGGACAATTTAGTTTCACATTAACCCAACATGCCTGTTTTTGGTCTGTGGGAGGAAATCTGAGTACCTGGGAAAACCACAGAGAGAGAACATGTAAACGCAGCACAGGGAGGCAAACCTTTGACCTTTTTCCTGTGGGGCAACACTGCTAACCACTGCACAATCATACTGCCCTTGATTTAAACCAGTTATCTTGTTACAACAATTAGTGAGTGGTGAGATGTGCTGTAGGAGTGACGGCTTCAAGGTGGAGGTGGGAGTGCATCAAGGATCGGCTCTGAGCCCCTTCTTGTTTGCTCTGGTGATGGACGGACTAAAAGATGAGGTCAGGCAGGAACCCCTGTGGACTATGATGTTTACAGACGGCATTGTGATCTGTGGTGAGAACAGGGAACAGGTGGAAGAGAACTTGGAGAGGTGGAGGTATGAGACAGAGTCCATGTGTGTGAATGAGGGAGGAGGTGGAACAGTGAGGCAGAGGTCACAAAGGTGCAGGACTTAAAGGACTTGGGGTCCACTGTCCAGGAAAATGTGGAGTGTGGTAAAGAGGTGAAGAAGCATTGGTCTAGTTAGTATATTGGTAGAAGGATGTTAGACATGCAGCTGCCAGGAAAAAGACTAAGAGGAGGTACATGGATGCAGTTAGAGAGGACATGGAGGTAGTTGGAGTGAGGACAGAGTGAGATGGAGAAGGATGACTCGCTGTGGAGACCCCTGAAGAGGAAAAAGTCAAAAGAAGAAGATCTTATTAAAATTATATATTATTAGGTTAGACCTGGACACGGAGCCGTAGCCCCAGAAGTTTTCTTGGATTTTAAGACAGAAGAAATTTACAGATCATTTCTGTTTGATCCAAGAATGAAGTTTCTGAGATAACTTGTCTTTTTGTCTGAAAACACCAGCAGGTTGTGCTTTCTCTGTATTTAATGAAAGCAGCGTTGCACCTGCACCGTTGAGGCACCGCACCTGGGTTGGACAACGTACACACCTACACCGAACAATTCTACTCTCCATCGTAGATAATTAAATGTTTTTTCTTTTAAGTGGTGTTTATTTACTAATAATATTTGGTGAAAGAAAAGCACATGGCAGTTATGGTTTACATTAAAATTGATTATGAAATGAGGCACAGTTTGACAATAGTTTGCACACGCAGGGTTGTGTTTGTGGTAAGTGCATTGGTGCAAAACAGAAACTGGTTGGAACCATTGTTATAGAAAATATCAACAGCTGGATAAGATGCGAGGGTACCATTTGGCAGAAGTACAAACTGACCGGCCCCCACCAGTCGTCAGACCTACCGGTGTCACTGAAGTCCTTTTTGCTGATCTTTTTGATCTTGTTGAAGCGGGCGTACAGGTATGCAGTTTCTTTAGGCAGTGGGGGGACGGTGGTCATGTCCGGGTTGACCTCCTCGCAGTACACCGACTTGGACAAGCAGACACACAGCAGGCAGGTGGGAAGATCTGCAAGAAAAAGCATTCATCACATTGACCTGCGGTTTGTAGAGAACAGTTGGATCAAACCCTGAGCACCTACAGTCAGGACTCCAACAGAACCGTTACAGGCGGGTTCAGAACGCCGCGCTGTATGCACAGCAGATAACGTTCCTCCGCCGGGTGCAGATGTTTTGGACTTTCTTACCAGCGCTGTCGCCTCCGCTCGGCGTCGGGCTGTCGTCAGGCTCATCGGCAGGAAGCAGCGCCCTCTGCAGGAGAAAAGACTCATTTGTATTTATCAAACAGCTGATGGGTGTGCAGTGACAGGAATGTGTTCTGGTTGTGGGATGAGAAGTTCTTTTCTTAGTGATTGTTTGAATAAATGCACCGGGGGGTGGGGGTGGGGGGGTGATCTTGTACTCCGGCCTCACAGTGACAGTAAACCTGGTAATCCAGTGTAGAGCAGGTGTTGGATTCAACTATCAGGATCCCAGCAGCAGCCTCTGGAGACTTCTGCTCAGGATCCGGAGCAGAATTTCATGGGATGAAGCTTAGTGATAGTTTGGGGTTGGAGCGAGAAGAGTTTCTGTGTTTGCACTGAAATGCAAACGTTAAAGCTTTGAGCTGTTTCTGTTGCAAAATGAACCTGTGGACAAACTGTTCCGCTAGTTTTTTTTCTTTCTGTGAATATCAGAGAAATGTTCTGTTTGGACTCCATTAAACCGGCTTCCTTCTATCATTTTAAGATGTTTTAATAAATCAGAGCCTGATGTCTTCAGCCCTGTAATGAAACACAGGCCTAAATCAATGGCTGAACATCCTACTGCTGTAATTACTTGTGTATAAACATATGGGACACTGTGTGCCATGCTGTGTTTTGTTCTCACAAAATGATGTACAGCGTGCAGATTTTTCAGTTATTAAAAAAATGTGTGATGGACCGCTGGGTCCTCGCTGCCCCGGCCGTGGTGTTGCGTCAGGATGATTGTTTTACCTGTCTGCACCTGAGACTTGGGGCTTTAAGGCTGTTGAGGCTCGAGTCAGGACACTGCCACTGCTGGCTGTCAGGCTAAATCGTCAACTTTGGGCTCAGCCTCCATTTTAAGCTGATGGTCCAAATAGCCGGGTCGCAACGTTAATCCTTGTATCGTCTTTAGGTAGAAAAATCTGCCACGTATTTATTTTTGTCTGTTTTTATTTATTTATTTTGGTGCAGTCAGTAAACACAGTTTTTTCTGACAAAGTCCTTCTTGTTTTTTAATCTTTTTTTAAACTTTGTCATTTTTTTTCGAACGCTCTCATAATCTCACAGTAACTTTACAACACACTCACGTTCCTCTGGGGAAAAATCACCCTCGTTAAAATACACCTTAAATACAACTTTTAATCCCATAATTATCAGATCAATTTATGCATTCCTCTCAGTAATGCTTTTCTTTTTTTTACCATTATCCCTGTACTTGAGATTTTTATGTTAACCCACTAGGTGGTGCTACTGTTTTATATTTGAGAGCTGGAGACGAGTTTAACTCGCACTGGAAGCAGCACATCCTCTCGGACCAGACATCTTTGCTTAGTCTTGTCTCGTCTTGTCTTAAAAATTGTTTTAGTTTAAATGTAAAGAGCAAAAGTGCACTTGTGCACAAGTAAACATTTAGCAAGATAAATCTGTTCCGCATGCATGCAGGCTGCAGAATCAGACGCTCCATGGCTGACAGCGGGCGACTTCTGTTAGCTTTCCTCAAAGCAGGACGTCATTAGCGGAAGAAAAGGAAAATAATTAATTCAAAACTAAAAAACGTCTGTGTCCAACCGCTGAACGACTCGTGAAAGTTTAACCAAAAACAAAGCCTCATTTTCGGCTACTGGATCTGAAGGGTCCGGTGGGCTGGGGGGGTCTTCACTGAACTTCAGACTGGAATGTTTAAAAAATTGTCAAAAGGTCATTTAGGGCATGCTAATGGAGGAAGCTTATTTATTTATTTAAATAAACTGTCATAAAATAATTATTTTGTTGATTTTAAAAAGAAGTTGTAATGTGGACTTTTTAAACTAAAGGCCTTAAATAGTCAAAATAATAAAAAATACATTTAACTTTGATATTTTTATTTCAGACTGAGATAGTTCTAAAAGACTGACTAATTTATTGTGGTAAAAATATAAAATAATAGCATTTTTAAGTAATTAAATAAGGTGGTGATTTTTCCACTAAGGAACATGAATCGTTCAAGGATTCAAGGTATTGTCATTCACGTCACATGTGGTACATGAGGTGTAACGAAACTGTACACAGGGTTCCAGTTACATTCAACAAAAATACAAATTGTAAAGAAAAACGGTAATAAGATCCAAGACATGAACTAAGAAATACGCTAAACTAAGAATATAATAAGCACTAATAGCACAAAACAATGCACCAAACAACAGCAGCACAAACACGAGTCTGTGTGAGAATTGTCAAAGTTAAAGAACAAAACGAGGCTTAATTGGGGGCTCGTCCGGGATATTGTGAACTCGTAACGATTCCTGAACTTGGCTGTAGTATCTTACAACCCATTTCACTTTGCAACACCTCGGAGGCGGAGACGTCAGTCACGCAGAGCGAGCAGGACCACCGCTTGGACAGCGAGGGTGTAAAGGGATGTCAACGAGAGAATATTTAATAATTATATCTCCTGCTTCAACAAGCCAGGTTTATTTCCTGCACTTTTCTCCTCCTGTTCCTGTCAGCCTGCTCCAAAGACTTCTGGTTCCATTTCTTTGAAATCCATGAAAAACACTAAGAGTAACACGGTACACAACCCAAACATCAAACCATCCACGTTTCTTTCTGTTGTCGTGTAAAGTTGTTGGTTTTAGTGTGAGCAGACCACAAGTCGTTCTGCTGTCGGAGGTCCCGTGTGGCTGTTCAAATGCAGAAACCACAAGTTGACCTTTAACCTCCGACCTTATAAACATTCAGGAGGAAGTGATGCCCCATATCCTTCAGTGTGACGAATCCTCAGCTCAAAGACGGGACAGTTTAAAACTTTTAAGCTTTGGTATCCAAATTATTTAGATCACCAATAAGAAATCTACTAAAAGCCTGAAGGTTTAGGGTTTTGTCTACAGGTGTTCAGCTGAAAATCAAATGTATATATTCAGTTAGAGACAAGAAACCAGAAGGCTGCCAGTGGACTCTAATTAAAGATGGGCTCCTTCATCTGATCCAGTGTTTGGTTCATTGAAAACCCGTCACTGTGGCTCGAGTGCCTTCATCTGGTAAATACCAACTCATTCTGCAGCTGTTGGGTCTGCAGACCAACCAGGCGGAGGAAACTTTCCACATTTTAGTTTAAAACGTTCATCCGAGCTCCAGTAAAGAGATTTCAACACATGAAGCTCATTAAAAGCCACAGTGATGTTTTATAGCTCTGTTGTCTCCCTCTTCCTTTCTTCTGTTGATCGTTTGTGTGTTTTATTTTCTTCTTTTCCTCCAAGTATTTCCCGAGAGACAAATTAGTCTAGATGTTGGTTTGGGTTCGTCCGGACTGAGAAGGTTCTGCGGTTTTGAAGAGTGTCGGTGGAGTTGATTTAAGGTTTGGTGTGTTTGGTGTAAGATGGTGCAGAAAGTGATGGACTGCGAGTTGGGCATATGGTTGTTGCACAAGATGGAATAAATCAGATTAACTGGATAAACAATGACCAGAATCGTTAAGCGAAGGTGCCGATGCATGAACATCACCAGTCTGATAAACCCCATTTATCAAGAGTTTCACTCAGTCAGGTTTGGTAGCCCTCCTTGAAACATGCAGATAAACCATGCTGAATATATCCTCGTAGACTTCACTGGTGCTAAGTTCATCCGAGTTTAAAACCCAGACGTTGGCCGGTCGTAGCCGGGAGCTCAAAACTGAGAAAATGGAGGAATTTTCAGTTTCAGTCTCGCTGAACTCCGAGCGTTTGACCACGAGACAGAATCTGTTTTATAGACAGGACCGCAAATTATTCACATTCATGAAAATGTTCCTTTAAATGTTAAAAGTCAACAAGAAAACAAACCATCTACCTGGTAACAAAACGTGACTAGAGGCAGAAAAATGGGTCAGAACCTGACCCAGTGAGATAGATCAGTGCAGCTTCAGCAGAGAAGTTTGACCCAAACAGTTTATGTCTCACCTTCGGTCTCCTCGATTTCCAAAGGAAGTATCCGTTGAGCTGCCGGGCAGGTAGAGCTCCTCGTACGAGCCGTGAGTCGTGATCGAGCCTCCTGGCTGAAGCTGCTGCCAGCCACAGGACCAGCACCCAGGTGAACTGGATCTCCTTCATGCTGTCCAGAACCGACGCTGCGCCTGAGAGTCTGCGTTTGGGTCGGCAGCTAATCTTCTCCTGCCTGGATGAGCCAAATGTCTGTATTTAAAGGCTGAACCAGGAGCTTCCAGCAGACTCTTAAAGCAGAGTTTATGGAGCGCAGCACCTTAACCCCTTCCAGACCAGCCCCCATCCATCTGCGCCGAGAAACAGAGAAAGACAAACACACTGAGTATCCAGGCGCTGGAAGACAACCTGTGTCCATTTTCTCTTGAATGTACCTTAAATGTGGACAGGAAGAAATATGGGCTGCAGAAAGTGCAGTGAAAGCAGGAAAGCTGAAAGTTGACAGCTTAAGTGTGCGTGTGTTTTGTCTGGAGGAATGTCTGTGGTCTGTCGGGTCTGTGGTCCCGTCGGACCGCTCACTAATGACTTTTAATCAGATCTGCTTTCATTAGCCCGGCGGTTTTCCTTTTCTCCGCTTGTTTTTCTCTCAGCAGACTCGCGCTGAACGGTGGAGCAGTGGTTAGCTGCGCTGCCTCACACCAAGAAGGTTGTGGGTTTGAACACTTTCTGTGTGGAGTCCTCATGTTTGAGTGTTTCCTCCCACTGTCCAGAACCGTGCAGATTACCTGGTACCTTTTAGGATCTTGTCTGGTACAATCACCGCCCTCATCAGGACCGGTCCATGTTGGCTTTTTTTTTTTTTTTCTCTAAACAAGGTATTTTTAAACTTTATTCCAATTAGGCTTTAAAACTGTGAGGATTAAAAAAACCACTCCATTCCACTCCACCTTAATGTCCTTCTTCCATAGCCACTCCTTTTCTTGTCTTGGCTGAATGTTTTGGGTCACTGACCTCCATCTATGTCCCGTCTTCGTGTTCTGGCTGAGGGAAGAAGGTTCTCCTCCATGGGTTTAGGGTTCATAGCTCCATACGTTGGTCCCTCGGCGTGGTGAAGTCATCCAGTGTCCTTAGCAGAATGACAGCTCCATACCATAATGTTTCCACCTCCGTGCTTTGTGGGGTCTGTGCTTGTTGGTCGTCCTCGTCATTTCTTTTCCTCCGAACACAGAGAGAGTCAGTCTGATGCCACAGAGCTGGACTTCGGTCTCAATCAGCACATGAACCTGTGGGTGTAACTGTTAACGAGTTGATGGTTGTGATTTGGGTTCAAGTGTAAAAGTTCATATTCTTATAAGGGATTTGATTATTTATGAGCTGTAAGGAGGGACAGGACTAGATCAGCTGTTTGCTTCGTTGTGACTCTGGAACACGTGTTGTCCTTTGCTTTTTATTTTTTATTTCTATGTACATAAATACGTATGTTTGAGATAAATAAATAAATGCATTAATTAATTATGAGACTTGTTACGATAAGAAGCCTTCTGTTTAATTTTTAACTTGGTTGTTGAATTTTGACCAGAAGAGGACGGTGGTCCAGCGTTTTGCAGGGACGGTCGTCTTGTTTCTTGTGAGTCTGTAAAACCACAGGGAGTCCATGAATGTAATGAAGTGATCTCACGTCACTGCAGAGATCTTCCACCCGTCCACTCATCTCCCCGTCCGTTCTGGACTCGAGTCTCAGGGGCAGCAGTTTGAGCAGGGAGGTCCAGATCTCTCCACAACCACCTCTTCCAGGTGTCCCCAGACCAGCTGAGAGACAGAGTCTCCAGAGCATCCTGGGTCTTCCTCGGGGTCTCCCCCAAGTTCGACATGTCCAGAGCACCTCCCTACAGAGGTGTCCAGGGTCCATCCTGACCAGATGACTGAACCTCCTCAGCTGTCTCCTCTCGATGTGGAGGAGCAGTGGCTCTACTCCGTGTCTCTCCTGGAGAACTGAACTTCTCACCCGATCTCTAAGGAGAGTCCAGCTACCCTGCAGAGAGAACTCCTTTAGACCTCCTGGATCCAGGATCTCGTTTTTTCGGTCACTACCCAGAGTTCCTGACCAGAGGTGAGGGGAGGAACATAGACCGACCAGTAAACAGAGAGCTTTGCCTTACAGCTCAGCTCCCTCTTCACCACAACGGACCAGCACAGAGTCCGCAATACTGCAGACGCTGCACCAGTCCATCTGTCGATCTCACACTCCATTCTTCCCTCACACATGAACAAAACTAGAGACACTTGAACTCCTCCACTTGAGGCAGAACCTCCAACCCAGAGAGGACATGATTGAGGACCATGGCCTCAGATCTGGAGGTGCTCCTAATCCTTGATCAGAAACCTCTCGTCCATCTTACAGGAAAAACTGCACCACAACTGCAAGTGTGATGTTTCAGTTTTAATTGTTTCTTCCAGATTGAACATTTGCTGAAGAGACAAAAACATGTAGTTCAATCACTGCGTCTGTTTGTCGTTCCTCCAGAGCAGCAAAGACTGTTCACGGAAAAACAATAAAGTCTAAAACAACTGAAGGTCGTAAATTAAGTGAAAACCTTCAGCTCCACTGGAAGATTTTTCTACAGAAAGGCTGAGAAACTGAAGAAACTCTGTTCCCTCGCTGCGTCAAACAGCTGTGCACGTCCAGCTGTTCTGATTTTAACCTTGGCTGTCAAACGAAGGAGAAGTTGGCCTTCTCCAGAACGGCCCGTAAACGTTTGCTGGGCATTTGTTTCGTTTCATCCCTTGACACGATGAGCTGAGAGGAAAAAAAATTAATGAAAAAGAGCTTCTTGACAAATGAGGGGAAAAAGCTCGACCTTATTTCCACAGAAGAGTTAAATCGAAAACGTGTGATTTTTCCATCCTCCAGTGCGAGAGGGGAGAGACGGGGCCCAGATGTAAACATCCCAGCAACCTGAGCTCGTACCGTTACAGGTGTGTTAGCAATTACGAGCACCTTTTAAACGTTTATGCCTCTGGGAGCAGATCCAGTAACTCCAGAACGTGTTTTGACCGTCACTCTTTTCCTGTATCGGAGTGTGGGCTTCACTTGTACCTCACCCCAAATAATTCTGCCTGATGGTGGAAATCCACCGAAACACAAAATAAGTCTGCTGTGATGCTGCAGCCCTCAGTGGGGTTCTGTTTCAGCCTCTCCCGTGGTTCTGGAGGAGTTCTGGCCCACTCTTCATTCCAGCGTTGCTTCAGTTCATCAGCTCTCTGAAGGTCCACCACAGCATTTCAGACAGGGTCAGGTTCTGGACTCTGACTGGACTGTTGCAGCTCTTTGGTTCTGTTGTAGATCAGCTGCTGTTTGGGATCGAGCTCCTGTTGGACCCAGTTTGGTCCAAGCTTCAGCTGTTGGACAGATGGACTCACATCTAATTCCAGGACCCTCTGGTCCACTCAGCGACTGACAGGAGCCCAGACCATCAGCCCTCCAGCACCGTGCTGACAGCTGGAGGATCTGTGTGCTGCTCTAAAGAGAACAGAGACTCTAAACCAGGGCTGTTCAACTGGCGGCCCGCGGGCCAGAAATGGCCCACGGGTGACTTCAAACCGGCCCACTTCATTAAAAAAACAAAATAATAATAATAATTTTTTTTGTTGTTGTTCTGAGTTTTGGGTTCTGTTTCTTGCATTTATGCTTCAATGCAATAAAAAAACATTTAAAAGGTAAAGGTAATAGATCATTATAAACTTGGTTTATTCACATAAACATCCTTGTAAAAGAGATTAATAATCTCAATGGATTTCTTCCTGGTAAAACAAAAAAATAACGGTTTAATAATAATAATGACTTTAATCTCTGGATGTCCGGCCCCCGAGCTGTTGGCTTTCAGAAACTGTGGCCCCTGAGCAGTTTTATTGAAGAGCCCTGCTCTAAACCCTCTACAGAAACAAGGGCTTCAGGTGCAGAGATGTGTGCTGCTGCTAATCCTGGTCGCTGAGGATCTTTATGGTCCTTAATTTCCCCGGTCCAACGGGTCAAAGTAGAAACTGAAAAACTGAGCTCACCTGTTCCAGTAGTTTCTACTTTATAATATTTTTCAAAATAAACTTCGTACAGACGCTGGTGGTTTGGTAGGTGTTTTAAATAAAAGCTAAAGGACTCTGGAATAAAGGATTCTGCCGGTTGCTCACACTCTTCTGTTCTTATACAAACAAACAAAACAACTAAATAATTTATAATTTTCTGTTTGCCTCAGTGTTTTACGTTGCAGGACTGTTTCAGGAAATATTGAAGCCTCTTCGTTGTTTGGAGATCTGATGGTGCTCCTGCATGGACGGCCCTTTTCTTTTAGTTGCGTGAGCAAAAATAGACTCTTTGACTTTATCTAAGCTCCATTTTGGTGTAAAATGACAGCTGTGAACTCTCCAACCTTCATGTGAAGCAGTAATTTCAGAGCAAAAACATTGTTTTATTTTAAAAAGCCAAAATTTAATTCTTCAGCCTTCTTTTCTTTGTGATCTGCAGTCCGTTAGCTGCATTTTAGAATTGCAAAGACACATTTCCAAACATCTGTGATTGTATTTGTTTAGAGTTCCACCAAACAACCTCGGGCCGAGCCTCGGTCCGACCCGAGCCTGTCAACGTCAAACAGCAGCTGAGCGCAGCAACGCGATGGTTGGAGCCCATTTCTGTCCTGAAACGCTGCAGATGTGCAGCCGGTTGCCTGGAAATGTTCATCCTGCATCTTCTGGCTCCTCCAGTCTCTTCTGGCTGCACTTTTACAAAATAATTCACCTTCATTAAAACAAAAAGTGTTGTTTTGTAGAAGTACTGCTGAAAGAACAGTCCAGGCTTTGGGTAAAACAGCTGAAGCAGCAAACTGTGAAAAATGTAATTGCTGTGTCACACTGTTGGTTTTATTTACTGACATCAAATTAAAGTTTATTTCAGTTTATATAGAAATTACATCTTTAATCCATCAATTTAAATAAGTGACTCAGGAGAAGAACTAAACATCCTCAACAACACAAACCTGTTGGACTTTTAAAGAAAGTTATTCACCAACTGGAATAAAACGGGTTTTAATTCTGAGCGTCTTCGGCTCCAAACCTTTAACCTTTTCTTTTCATCAGCGATCCGAAGTTAGAAAGTTCTGCTGACAGCTGTGGTTGTTGTGCGGGTCAGCTGGGTCTGAGGGCTCCC